TCGGTATAGTCAACACACATACACCATTTTCCATTATTTTTCTTAACAAGTATAACATTTGACATCCAGGTTGAATATCGGGCTTCACAAATAAAATTTGCCTCTAGGAGGTCTTTTACAGCTTTTTCAACTGCCTCCTCTTTCTCGGGAGACTGCCTACGCCTACATTGTACTACTGCCCTAGCGGCTGGATCAATGGCGAGTTGATGACAGGCGACCTCAGGGTCGAGATCGGGCATCTCTACAGCGCTCCATGCGAACAGATCTGCATTCTCCCTCAAGAAGGCTTGATCTTCTTTCTCGCTAAGTCGGGGAGTCCGGTGCCAATCTTCACCCCTCTGCCCGGGTCTTCACCGAGAGGGACGAGCTCAAAGTCCCCATCCGGAATTGGTCGGAGGAGCACCTGCTCGCTGTTAGAGGGTTCGTCTTGGTCGAAGCGAGTGTCCAACGAGATCGAATCGACCTTTGGAGGGGCCCTCTGTACCTCTGCTCTGATGGGTTATGACTATGACTACTGAGGTTCTGGTCGCGCAGTTGCAGCTTTCTTGGCGGCCCGTGCCCCGGTGTCGACTGTGCTGTATCCCTTGGCCGCTGCGTTAAAGCATCTTCGGGAGGCTTCTAGGTCACCTTGAATGGTAGCGACTCGTTCCCTCTTGGTGTAGAACTTCATCTTCAGATGGACGGTGGAGGGCACCGCGGTCAGCTCTGCCAGTGTCGGCCTCCTGAGGATGCAGTTGTAGAGGGATGGGTAGTCGATGATGAGGAAGCGCACCTTGACCTTCCTGGTAGCAGTATCTTCATCGAAGGTGACCATAAGCTCCACGTACCCCCCATGACTTGGAGGTCGAGCCATTAAAGCTCTGTAGGTATGACCCCACGTATGGTGAAAGGTGGGAGTCATTGAGCTGCAGGGTTCTGAACAGATGGCTGTACATCACGTCGACGGAACTTCCCTCGTCGACCAGGATGCAATGGATGTCAAAGTTGACCATTATCGCCATTATCAGAAGAGGGGTGGTTGAATTGGGGGGGGGGGCCCTCTGGGAAGCTCCTCGAGGTAAAAGGTGATCGGCTTTGATCTGCCTTTCACCCTCTCGAAGTCACCGTTTACGGGGGAGCTGCATCGACCAGTTCGTCCATCTTCCTCTTTGCTGAATTTATGGTCAAATCATTAAACCCTCCACCATTGATGACCATGGCAGAGGGGAAGTTTTCCCACTTGTTGTGCGTAGACAGAGGCTCTTGCATATGTTTGGGGACGTAAAAGTCCTCCGGTCTTGTGACGGAGAACGTTGTTTGGATGGGGACCTTCTCGTCAGATGGTCGGGCATCCTTCTCTACTTCCCTTGTTTCATAGGAATCTCGACGAGGGGCGTCGCCACGCCGATATTTGCCGAGTCTCCCCCCTTTTATGAGGGTCTCAATGGTGTCCTTGAGATGGACACAATCTTCGGTAAAGTGCCCATGGCTCCGGTGATACTGGTAGTACTTGCTTCGATCTACCCCGGGTTTAGCAGGAGCGGGGCGAGGACGCTTGACGCCGCCGTCCTTGAAATATGTATTTATGCACTCCACTAAGATGCGCTTGCGGGAAGCCGTTAGTGGAGTGTACTCAGTGAACCTTCCCGAGGGCCCCCTTTGTTCCTGAGCGTCTCGAGGTTTGTCGTCCCTTCTCTTCTCTCCATTTCGTCGAGGAGGGGTGGTGTCTTGTCGCAGATGACTGGTATATCTGCGATTCCTGGGATCCCGAGCTCTGTTGGCCGCTTCTCTCTCCTCGTAGTCCATGTAGACTTTGGCCTTCTCGAGGAGGGCATCAAGTGTCCGGGGTGGTTAGATGCCTACGGCCTTTCTGAATTTCGTGCCCGGGAGGAGTCCCCTCTTGAGCATGTATCTCTTCATGTGGTCCGTACATGGGACCCAGATGGCCTCCCGATTGAACCGATCAATAAATTTCCTCAGCATCTCATCGTATCTCTGGACGATGGTCTCGAGGGCTGCTTCAATCTTCGGGTGTCGTCACGAAGCACTGAATGAAATGATGAATTGGTTCTTCAGATTTTGCCAAGAGGTAATTGACCCCGAGGCGAGACTTTTGTACCAGTTCATCGCAGCTTTCCTCAAAGTCGTGGGGAACAACCGGAATTTGATTGGTCCCCCGACATTGTGATAGTATAGCATGGCTTCAAACCCGTCTATATGGTCGATCGGGTTGGTGATGCCGTCGTATTCCTTTAGGTGGGGAGGCTTCTCCATGCCCGGGGAAATCGGTGCCTCCATGATAGCTTGTGACAAGGGACCGCGGGGGTCGTCCTTGTCACTCTGTTCGGGAGAGCGAGACATAGATTTGATGTAGTGGCGGTTACGGTGGCCCTGTTCGTGCGGAGAGGTCCTCGGGCGGTATGGTTGTTTGTGGTTTCCCCTATTTCTGTCTCCAGGGGGTCTTCGTTCTTGACGCGATGGGCCGTGATTGTTCCTTCCCGTATCAATGGGTTGTTCCCTTTCTAACGCGGGCAGTCGCCCGATTGGTCGGGGAGACGGGCTTCGAGAGATGTCCTGACTACGTCTCCGCGAGGGAGATTGGGATGTTCCTCTGCTAGTTGAGGAGAAGGAGATCGAGGTCTCCTGTATCTTCTTGGGGGTCTCCGATCGTCTTCGAGCGCCCTCAATCTTTCTCCCTGAGCGAAGATTAGGTAGTTGGTCTGATTTATTACCGCGAACAGTGCCCTGGTCGTGGCGTCTTCCCCGGTGAAAATAAGGACCTCATAGAACTGAACGTGTTGGTAGTTCTGGGGAGGTGGTCGATCATCTTCAAATCGACGAGGCAGTGATGATGACGAAGTAGTTGCTCCGTCTCTATAGTCAGAAGGCCCGGGCATATTAACATTGGGGGCTGTGTTATGGAGGCGGTATCGGCGTTGTCGAGGCCGACATTGTTGTCGGTGGTGTTGTTGACGTCGATGATACGAACGTTCATGTTCTCTGGAGTTTGGTCAGCCATGACAGTCGGGGATTGTTTAGCTTTGGTCTCAAGCAAATAGAAGACGGGGAAGCAAGATTCCCACAAACGGCTCCACTGATCTTACCGGATCAGAAATGGACCGTCACAGCTAGCTCGGGCAGAAGTTGAATGAGATGGGGGTACATGCAAGACACTCTGATGGCAAAGTAATTTGCGGAATGAGCAAGCAAGTATGAGTTCAGAGAGATGAAATTGAATACCTGACCCTCTTAGGAGAGAGGATATTTATAGCCCCCAGCGCTGGGTTAAGGTTCCCACTATTGGGCCATGTTGAGGCCCAATAACAGAAACTGTCAGGGTTTACGTGTGTATGGAGTCTAACAAGTGGACTTCCCCCTAGTCAACTGTTCCGCAAGAACAGGGTTGGACCCGTGATTTCCGGAGGGCAGTTTAAGATGACTGTCGTGGGATCGTGGACCACGTCCTCCAACGATTGGGTGGAGAGTTGCCTAACGGTCCCTAACTTCGACTATTTTTAGACTTGCCGTTCGAAGCACAAGTGTAGGTTCAATTCAGATCAAATAACAATAACACTCTAAGAGAAAGCTAAAAATACTCAAACTGCTGTTAACTCAAACTGCTGTTAACTCAAATGTCAGGTAGAATTCTCAAATCATTATTCTCATTTTGTTTCTCAATCTCAACATTATCTTTTGTACAAGATCACAAATTTCCTACCATCTAATAAAATTTCCTCTTCATCTTAAACGTATCTTTGTGTAGCATAAAGAGATATTCTTAACATCATTCTTAAAGTATATATAAAATTATTACTCCACAAAAAATCTATATAGACAAACCATCTATATTTTAATGAGTTTGGTCCCCACCATTTAGATTCAAATAATGACAGTATATATTCTTAGAATCGGAATTTAAATCTCACAACTACAACATTGACGTGTGTATCGATTGTTTGTTTTATTATTGCAAATGGTAAGGGTTTTTTTTTGGAGGTATTCAAAAGGTGGAAAAAAAGGCTTAATTGCATTCATCTTTAAGTAATATTTTTCAGGATAGCTGGGCCCTCAACATGTGGGATGATGGAAGTTGTTTGTCTTTTATGGTTTGTTTGACTCAAGGGAAGGTGGTAGGATTGATTGTGGAATGGGAGAAAGCATAGAAGGCAACATGTTTCCTTAGTGCTTGATTCGTATCCAAAATGTATGAAAAACTGAATTTTTTTACTCTCTTTTTCATACTCCACTTTTTTACTAAGAGTCTGTTTGCTAAAATCAAAACCCAACTCTTTTTTTATTTATTTTAAATTTATCAGTTAATATCATAAAAAAATTATGTTAGAACTTAACTTTTAACTTGTCTATTTTTTCATTTTTATTATTTTAACTAAAATTGTGTTTTTATCTTTTATAGTTTAATATAATTTAAATTAAAATAAATATATTTTAAAAGGATGAAAAAAAAAAGAAAAATTTAATATCTAAAAAATATTCGAATTTCTTAATATAATTTTTCTCTATTTTTTCTACCTTCTTGTATACTTTTTCTCAATGGATTCTAGCATCACTCTCTATTGTTGTTTAATCCTATATATATATTTATCAACTACATTTATCGATTTTAAACTATGAATCACCATTTATAATCTGGAAAACAAAACATGATTTTATGTCTTTCAATAAATGATATGACAATTTTTTGTGTAAATTACAAACTATCAAAAATATTAATTTAAAAAAAATAATTAATATTATTTCTTAGGTTCATAAATAATTGCACGAAATTTTTAAAGATGAGAGAGAAACTGTATCATCTCTCTAGAATTCTAGTTTACTGATCTTCCTTGAATTTGTTGCATGCGATCAAACCTTCTCTTTATCATTTGATCATGGCATGGAAGAAAGTATAGAAGAGAAACTTCAGAGATTTGGGTAAGAAGAGCCTGAGGTGGGATGTGTTTCCGAGAAACAAATCGACGGTTTATTTTTTAGAGATCACAAATAACAACAACGCTCAATAAATGTTTGAAGTCTTTAGTAAACACGGGGTTGTGGAAGAGGTGGTGATCCCTCCGAAGCTGAATAAGTTTGGGAAGATATTTGGTTTCGCGAGGTTCATTGAGGTGGAAGATTCGAGGAGGAGACGGGAAAGTGAGGTGGCCGGTTCGGGAGGGGTTAAAAAGAATGAAGCTTCAAGGCTTTTGGGTGTTACTAATAGAAAGAAGGTTTTTGATAAAGGAACTTTAATGGGCAACATGTCTTTTGCTGAGGTGGTTGGTTCAAAGCGTAATATGGGGTTGAAGATCATATGAAGAAATCGTCTTATTTGGTTTACCAGTCTAAGACTGAATATGTTTTGAGTCTGAAGAAATCTTTCATTGGGTAGGTGCTCAATCTAGGGTCTTTATACAACATCCAAACTCATTTCAAGATGGAAGGGTATTTCTCCATCAAAGTCACACCTTTAAGAGCAAACTTGTGCCTCTTGGAAGAGACGGTAGAGGGAGATATAAGGGTCCTTATCAGAGAAGGTAAGGTCTGGTGGCAACAATGGTTTTTGGAGATTAGGGAGTGGCGTGCAGAAGACGTTGATAAGGAGAGAGTTTCATGGATTTAGTGTTTTGGGGTTCTTTGTCACGCTTGGAACTCAGATTTTTTCTCTCTTTTAGCTAACTCATTTGGAACGTACATTTGCTCAAACGAGAATACTTTGAAACGTGAATGTATGAACGCCGCTAGGATTTTGGTCTGAACTAGGTGCTCTTCGATCTTTAAAGAATCTTTTTATGTCAGTATAGATATTGTTGTGTTTAGGATTAAATTGACGGGGGACTCACATGCTCCAATGCGGATAGCGGTGAGAAACGGGGAGTCTAAGATGGAGTGGGCTTCTTCATACTCTGATAGTAGCAGGGAGGGAGATAGTATTGATGATATTGAAGATTGGTTGTCGGAAAATTCTCCTCACAACTCGCCGGGAGGAATCTGTGTTGTGGCGGAGACCGAGGAAGGTGAGATTTTAGAGCAGGTATCCGACGCTTTCTGGAATATAGAGAAAGGTGATCAGAAAAGGTTGGGTAGGGCTAAAAGCAACAGTGGTCCTGTCACATTCGATGAAGTTTTGGAAGTTGCTAAAGTGACTAAAGCAGTTTCTGCAGTAGATGGTAAGATGGTAGCAGAGGCGGATGTCCAGAGGATATAGAGAAGAGTAAGAAAAATATCTGTAGGAGGGAAAATAGCCTTTCCTCCGTGGACACTTTATTCAAAACCAATGTTATATAGGGAAGAAAGTGTTACAGAAGTAGGTCCCTGGAACAGTATTGCCATCGGCTCCTAATTTTCCTGTAGGGCCGGTGGAGGATAACATTTTACTTAAGCCCATCAAAGTTCATAAAGTTTAGCCAAAAAAGAAGGGGACGGTGGATATTTTGAAGAAGACCAAACCTGCTAAATTTGAGGAGTTGAGTCTAGTAGCAGAGAATCCTAGTCATTCCTTCAAGTCAAGAGGATATGTGGTTTACCCGGAATTTTCCATACGTGACATTTTATCAGGAGGGTCGGTTTTATGTTGTAGATCAACTTCTAGTTCAGATGTTTGTAAAGGAAACTTCAGATTCTGGGTGGGATGGGAAGGAAGAGATTCTAATGTTGGAGATAGACTGTGGTGTGCCATCAATAATCTAGGGATAGTCCGTGTGGACAACAATAAAGACGATCTCAAGAAAATCCAATACATGGAGGCTGCAGATAAAGAAAAATTTCTAGCTCAGTAGGTGACCAAAAGAGATTCCCAATGATAATAGGATTTCTTAATATAAGAGAGGGAGTTGTAGAATATAAATTAGTCTTTATATACTTTTAACTTCTTGTATATTGTTCTTAGTAAATAAATTACACACACTTAGTCTTTTATAGACTCAAACAAATTTTTACAATTCTAAAACAGTAAATTAAACAACATAACTGCTACATAACTACTAAAAGAAAACTATTGTCTTTCCTACTACCATAGTTAATACTAATCATTTATTTCTAACCCATTTAATATTTTATTTCAACAGAGGTAACCCGTTGAAGAGAAAGAGAATTGGTTTAGAAATAATTTCGGGTAAGGCTGATATTTTCTTGATTTAAGAAACAAAGCTAAAAGCGATCGATGAATCAATTGTTAGGAGCTTGTGGAGTAAAGATAAAGTGGGATGGTTCTCTGTTGCTTCGATAGGCCGGTCAGGAGGGATTTGCTTGATTCAAGAAACAAAGCTAAAAGCGATCGATGAATCAATTGTTAGGAGCTTGTGGAGTAAAGATAAAGTGGGATGGTTCTCTGTTGCTTCGATAGGCCGGTCAGGAGGGATTTTCTTGATTCAAGAAACAAAGCTAAAAGCGATCGATGAATCAATTGTTAGGAGCTTGTGGAGTAAAGATAAAGTGGGATGGTTCTCTGTTGCTTCGATAGGCCGGTCATGAGGGATGTTAACTTTGTGGAAAGAAGCCATTTTGATTTGATCCTCAGTTTTAAAGGAAATGAATACTTGGGTTTGAAGCTTCTATGGAAGGGAGTTATTTATTATGTCGTAAATATTTACTCTCCCTGTCAGCTTGAGTTGAAGAGAATTTTATGGAAGGAGTTATGTGATCTTAAAAATAAAAAATTAAGAACGAAGAAAGGTGAATTTGTCGCGACTTCAACGCTATTACTTGTTCTAAAGAAAGGAAGGATAGTTTGAGTTATAACAGAGCCTCCAAAATGAGGGATTTCAACCTTTTTATCAAAGACATGAACCTAATTGATATTCCTTTCAAAGGTAATAAATATAGCTTGTATAGTGGGGATGGAAAATCGATGAACAATATTGATCGATTCCTAATGGATGGTAGAATGGTAGATAGATGGGGCATCGTGGACCAAAAATTGGCAAAATAGATTTATCGGACCATTGTCGTATATGGATTACGATTAATAACTCGAATTGGGGTCCCAAACCCTTCAAAGTTAACAATAATTGGTTTGATGATAAGAAGTTTGTTATTTTCATGGAGAAAGAGTTGAAGAGATTAAAGGTGTTCAGTAGAGGAGATTATATCATCAAGGAGAAACTTAGGCCTCTCAAGGAGCACTTGATTCATTGGAACATGGAAGTGTTTGGGAGGAATGAGATGGAATTGGATATACGGAAGGACGATATTAACAAAATAGGAGAATTACTAAGTTGTTGCAGCAGCAATCCAGTGGAGGACCTAGTTGTTAAACGCAAACAGAGTTGAGCAACATTTGGAAAAAACTGTTGAGAAGAGATAATCTTTTAATTCAAAAGTCTAGAGTTAATTGGGTTAGAGATGGCGACCTGAACTCTCGTTATTTCCATAACATCATGAAGGGAAGAAACTTGAGCAAATTTATAGGATCTATCGAAACCGTTTCTAGCATTGTTGATTCAGTTGGAGGCGTGAAGGAAGAAGCTTGGAAGCACTTCGAGGAGAAATTTATTGAACCAGAGAATAATAGGACATTCTTACAAGGTATTGATTTCCCTCTTTATCTCTGTTGGAAAGTAGCAGTTTGAAGTGGAATTATCTGAACAAATCAAATCAAATCACTTCGTGTTTATCAAAAACTGTTAGCATTTTATCAAGGAGGATATAATCATATTCATTAAGGATTTTCACAATAAACCTATTTTGTCAAAAGTTGTAACTTCTTATTTCCTTACTTTGATCCCTAAAACTGTGAACGCGAGAAATTTAGATGATTTCAGACCCATATGTTTGGTGGTATGTCTGTATAAGATCTTGGATAAATTGTTGGCATTAATATTGAAAAAGGTTCTTGGTTCTCTCCTATCGGAGTGCCAATCTGCTTTCGTTCCGGGGCGTCAGATGTTGGACGGGGTACTCCTGGCTAATGAAGTGGTTAATTATGTTATGAGGTCTAAGAAGGAATGTCTCCTTTTCAAAGTAGATTTCGAAAAGGCTTACGATAGGGTGTGCTGGGACTTTCTTAGATATATGTTGAAGAGGGTGATATTCAGGAGTTTATGGCTAAAATGGATGGAGGAAATCGTTTTCACCAGTCATATGTCTATTCTTATTAATGGTAGCCCGTCTAAAGACTTTTCTCTAGAAAGAGGGTTGATGCTGGGAGATCCCTTATCTTCGTTCATTTTCGTCATTGTGGCTAAAGGGATGGCTAGATTGATTAGAAAAGCAGCGGGAATGAGATAATTTTGGAGTTTTTGTGATGAATTGCTTCAAAGTGGGCTTATTGCAATCGTAGATGATACACTCATTATTGTGGAAGCTAGTTGGGACAATCTTTGGTCGATAAAATCTGTTTTGAAAGGATTTGAGATCGTGTCAGAGTTAGGAGTCAATTTTAAAAAAAGTAGATTTATTGGAATTAATGTCAACTCTTCCTTTTCGTCGGCGGCTGCCAATTTCCTGACTTGCAGGTTCGAAAAGAAGGAGTTCAAGTTTTTAGGCATCCCAATTGGTTCAAATACTAGAAGGTTGAAGATGTGGAAGCCTTTACTGGATAAAATCATAGTGAAACTAGCAAGGTGGAAAGGAAGGGTGCTATCAATAGAGGGCAGAACCACCCTGATTAAGTCGGTTCCTAGCAACTTGTCTATTTTTCTTCTTTCTTTTTACAGAGCTTCTGTGAAGATTTGGAGAGAGATCGAAAGGATTTAGAAAAGGTTCCTTTGGGGAGATACGGAAAACAAAAGAAAAATACATTAGGTAGGACGAAGCAAATTTGAAAACCTTTTAATTAGACGGCCTCAAAATTAAAAGGATAAAAGAATTTAATATTGCTTCGTTGTATAAGTGGAGGTGGAGAATTATCGAAGAGAAACATTTGATTTGGAAGGGAATTATATCAACCATTTTGTGATGTCTAACGAAAGTTCCAAACTCCGTAAACTGGGTTCCAATTGGTGGAAAGACTTAACTTTTGTCTTCAAAAATAGCTCTGGCTTTGTGTGTGAATTTGCAGGAAATATTTCTGCCAGAGTGGAAAACGGTCGGAGGACTCCGTTTTGGACAGTGTATTGGTGTAATAATAATCAATTCAGCGAGTGGTTCCAGGATCTTTTTCTCCTGAGTTCCAAAAAGGACGGTTACGTAGAGTAAACAAGGCAGTTGTATGGGAACGTGTGGAGGTGGGGTAGTTTCGGTTTGCAGGAAGAAATTTATGATGAAGTGCGCTTTTGTTATCTATGTTGGTTCAGGTCTGTGATCGGTGGGAACGAGAACTGACTGTTTCTTAATGCTGGTTCGCGTTTGCGTTTGTTTTTGCAAAGTGTCGCGGTAAGCAAGAGTCGCCACCGTCTTTTATTTTATCCAACAAGGAAAGAACAAAAGCACCGAAAAATTCCTTTTCGAGATTTTTCTCGGGTTCGGGAGGTAGATTATAGAAAGGGAAGGTATTAGCACCCCTTCTATCTGTGGTTATCCACGGGCTCTTAGGTACTTGCTCACTATGTTTTCAAAAGTTTGCTTTTTCTTTGTGTTTGTGGGTTTTGAAAAGAATTTTGTTTGAGACTTCGATTTAACTCTTGCTTCTGTCCTCAAGAATGTAACGAAGTGTTTTGAAAACTTTGTTCGAAAAGTGTAAGTGTGAAAAGTTTTGTTTTGTTTAAGAGAGTGCAAGCACTTAAGAACATCTACTTACTCAAAAAGGAATTAAATTGTGCAACTGTCCTTTAGACAGTGCTATCCCACTATTGAGGAGTAGGTAGCACTGTCGTTGGAGTTTTTCGGGTCAATTCGATTTTAGGGACGCGTGGTCACTAAAGCAACGTTAGGACGCTTTTAGTGGTAATCCTAATGTCTTAGATCATTTTTATGGAGGCAACCATTTCGAGGCAACTTATGATCTTGGGACAAAAGGACGATCTCTAAAACATCCTATACTTAATAACCACGCTCGAGGCAACCAAATGAGGTGTACCCTAGGAGTGGCATGTGCAAGTGTGTCAATTTTCAGTTATATTATATTTGCATGTCATGGCGAGCTACTGTTGATTTTAAGTTAGGAGTTTAATCTTGTCATGCATAGCCTAGTTAGCATACATCTAAACAGTTAATATATGTACATGAATTTAAAGTGCGGAAATTGTAAATCCTACGCTATTACAAGGCTTTGGGGAGGGGGATTATTTACATATCCAAAAATTGGGGGAAATAAAAGCAGTAAAAAAAAAGGTCTTAGTTTAAGCTATTACATCCCAGTAAGCAGTTATAATAAAATAAACGCGCGTGAATCTGAAAAATCCTAAGAATAAGAACTTTGTTGTTTTATTTTATTTTTGAGGAAAATGCTAAATGTTCAATTAAGTCAAATTCAATTAATTAAAAAAAACTGATTAAAATTAATTCTAAAACATTCATAATATTTTTTGCATTTTTTTTTGGTTTATGAAAAGGATTGAATTTAAATAAATCCTAAGTCTACTGATTTTAAAAATTGGAGAAAATAAGTTAAAATAATTAACTAAATTACATCCTAATTCTAAGTTATTTATTTTTTTGATTTTTATGTTGATTAAAAAAACTAAAAGAAATAAACAAAAACAAAGTAAATAAAGTACAAACGGGCCAGGCAGCAAATCAAGAAAAATATAATCCTGGGGGCCTGGGTCGAAAGAGGTGCGGGATGTCTTTCGACCCAGTGAGGAGGCTGGATCGAAGGTGCATGGGGGGCTGCACTCTGAGGGTATTCGATCTGGACATGCCATCCTTCGATCTGGAAATCCTGGGTCCAGTTCGAAGTTAGACTGCTGAGCTTCGAAACTCTGAACAGGAATCTGAGAATGTATTTCCTGCAAGAAACGAAACACATGTTAAAGGTCCAGGGGGGGGGGTTACCCCCTAGTTTGAATCTCTCTCTTATTCGCACCTGCTGAATCTGGGTCTGGGTTTGTTTTATCCTGGGATTCGAAGGAGAAACTCAGATTGTGCCCAAGCAATGGCACAATCTCATCTCTGCGTTGTAGCTTATATGTAGCACATTAAATCATTCACAAACAGCAGTAATAATATGAATATGCAATTAAAATGAATTTAAAAATGAGTTTTGAGATTAGATCCTTTTTTTACCAAACAGAGGTGCTTCGATCTGTAGTTCTGAGGGTGGAGGTGTTCGATGGGTGGCAACTCTGGCTGGTGCAAGGATTGGGTATGGCTTCCTGGAAGTGCTGATGACTTTTGGCAGCGTATCTCCAAGCTCTCCTTGCTTCTTTTCTCTATTTTTTATGTGTATTTTCGTGTGTTCTGTTTTCCTGCAGAGTTTTTTGTGTGTTGGATATGTATGATGGCCTCTGTATTTATAGGGGTGTGATGGTGCAGTAATGGCAAGAGACAGCCATTAAACAGGCCATTAAAGCCATGAGACAAGAATCAGACACATTAAATAATTTCCTTTTTTGAAACATTTGTGTCCCTTGAATGAACCTGGACGCTTCTGACTTTCGAATGCCTTCAGGCCTTGTCCTTCGATTGGTCCTAAGTTGCCTCCTTCAAATGGACTTCCTTTGCTTCGACTTCTTGATTTGAAAAGAGTCACTCTGGTCGAATCAGTTGTTCAGGAACAGAAAAGGCAAGAATCTGGCCCTTAACTCAGGAATTAAATTCACAAACAACATTTAATTATTTCTATATTTGCAAGGGAAACATGCCATTTTCTCATGTTCAGTGTACCTAGACATGTTTGAGTGCCCTCTTGATGGCCTCTTCCAAATGGCCTGGGAGGTGTTCTTCGAATGGCCCTTGACCAACTATCAATCGAAGGATCCCAATCGAAAGGCTTTGTTATCAGGCCAATCGAAAGGTGTTGTTCCTGCTAATTGAAGGACATGGTTAACATGCCTGTCGAAGCTGCCTTGACACAATGCTAAATCGAAGGATCCCCTGGCATGCCAATCGAAGCCTGGCCCATGGTGCCAATCGAAAGGCTCATTCAGAATCCCAATCGAAGGGTCTTTCAGAATGCAAATCGAAGTGCTTGTCCATAATGCCAATCGAAGTGTCCCTTCAAAGTACCAATCGAAGGGCCTTTCAGAATGTCAATCGAAATGTACTTACAGCACCACTCAAAAAATTTCTTTTTCCTTAGGCAAGAGTTTGTGATCAACCATGCAGAGGAAAGACTTTGGGAAACATGAGAGGGCAAATTTTGGGGTACAACAGTTGCCCCTGTTCAATTTTCTTAAACCTGAGGATTAGATTGGCTTTCGAGCCTTTCGTGATCCGAAGGTGGACGATAA